GTCGGGGCGGCCCTCGGGTGTTTCCTGCCGCTGCCGAGCTGGTTGATGGCCCGTCCGGGGGTCGGTGGGTTGGCGGCCGGGGTGCCGTTGATATTGTTGGGGCCGTGCGGGTGCGGGGACTGAGCTGGCGTGCCCGGGCTTGGCAGCGAAGAGGACGTGGACGGAGCCCCTGCGGGACTCCCGGCTTTGTCGCTGGCAGAGTCGCTTTCTGGCCCGGATCTGCTGGCGCTGTTCTGGCCCTCCTGCTGCGCGTGGCTCACCTTCATCTTCTTACAGCTGGGCCGGACCCGGTACTTCAGGGGAAGGGGACCGTTCTAAAACATTGGGTTGAACAACAGTTTGATTAACGACGCACAACTATTAACATCTAGAGATGTTTTAGACGCTGAATTTAACTTAAGCTCCAGGGTGCATTTGTCCAAATATTCGTTGGAACGAGAAAGGTGGAAGTGGGTTTGTACCAACACATGCACAATCTATATATTACATTAGCATAATCTGGGCAAAAAAAATGTGAACAGCTCACATACATTCACCGGCCACATTCTTCGTTACAACCGGTGTTGTACGAGGCTACAATACATTGAGATGCTTTCCTAATAAGCTAATCCTCATGTTTGTAGCTGGGGAGGACAAAAATATAGACAGCTAAATATAATGTAGTCCAGTACAACACCAATTTTAACTATGACCTCAATAATAAACATAGAATTGAATTTATACATTTCTGACAGATTCATCAAAAACTGAAACATTTTGAGCTTCATAAACACAGATGTTAAGGTGGAAATGTTGCACTGAAGTGCATACAGCTGTACCTAATAAAGTGGCCGGTGAATGCATTTTCCTGATGTTCCTTAGAAAATACAAAAATTAAATAATTTTCAGGTTTGAATTTTTCAGCTTCTCCAGGAATAAACGCATTACAAGTTACAAGATATGTTGTGCAAGACCCTTCAGCAGCCTTCTGTCTGGATTTCATGTACAAATGTAGCTCCTAACAATATTTTTTAATTGACTAGATTGGTGTCTGTTGTACAACACAAAGCTAAAAACTACTTGTGCTTTGTAAAAACCGCTGCATTTGGTGCAGATCAAATCTAATGAAACCTATCCTCTTGAACTTGGTGTTAATTGGTAAAGAACAAATAAATACATTAATAAAAACCCTAATCAACCTCATTTCATGGTTTTTAAAAAAGTGGCTAGCTGTAAATAGGCTACTTGTATTTGAAATTACGCCATAATTACAGCAACACCTTCATTTGATTCTAACAAAACTTGTTATACATTTTTACATAAAAGTATTTCATTCATTTGAATAAACTGATAAGATTAAGGACATTTAAGAATTTAGACTCCTCAGCAGTTTAGATAAATTGACATCAAGTCTTCTCTTCGCCCATTAAAGGTCTTAAAAAGGTGTCTTACCCGTCTCCAAGTATAGATATATGCTATATCCATTAATGTGTAGTAATCTTTCAGAGGCTCATCTTCATACATGACTTCAACCTAGAAAGAATAAGTCTTTTTAGTATCAACAGAATAAAACAGGAAATATCCAGTAAAATTTGGAACTAATCTTGATATTACAGTCATCTTTAACAGACCGATTTTCACACAAATCATTTAAATGTCCAGTTTTTATTTGTCAGTAAATAGAAAAAAAAAGGACCTGGTAGGTGTTTGGAATGTCCATTTTGCTGCGCAGAAACTTCCTTAGATGCATGACTGTCATGGCCGCTGGACATTGCAGGTACCTCTTGTTGGCCACCTAGATCACATTATAAATAGTACACATTTGTATTAAAAGGTATATTGATATAGGGGACTGCATGTCTAGATGGATACAGGCTGGTCCACCTTAAGAACCAGCAGAAGAATTTGCTTTACACAAACAATGCTTTTCCTAATGCAATATTTAGTTAAACTGTGTCAACAGATTTGAGTTGAGGTGGTGAATTAAACACTCACTGGGCCTCAGAATGATAAGGAGCTTGCAGTGTGTTTCATCTTTACCTGGTTACAAAGAATGTTGAGAAAAATAATTTAGGCCAAGAATGTGGCCCAAATCAATACCTGATCTTTACATTGCTTGTCCTCCAGTCCGCCCCCCAATCTGCACAAAATCAAAAGGGAAAAACAACAAGTGTGTAATATTTGTTTTTAAATACCAATGGCAGGCAGAAATATAGTAACAAAATAGGATTATCAATTAAAAAATAAAAATAAAAATTTTGTGAGCAGGTTGAATTAAAAGTAGCCTTTGCTAAATGACTCTTTCTTTCCCACAGTTTGTGATTTTTCATTTAATGTGAGACACCGTAGTCGTGGCTTATTGCTCATGTCAGTAATATCGCAAATAAACTACAGTCCACAGAAAAAAAAGTAGATAAATTGTAAATATAAAAATTGCTATCAATATCTTGACATAATTTCATACAAGGATATTAAGATTATGTCCAAAAATAATTATTGGAAAAATGCCATTTTTTATGTTGAGAAAATATAACAGTTGGAGCAGTGAGGGGCCGGGTCACATGACCTGCGGTTTTGTGAACAGATTTCCTCTGGATTTAATGCAGTGTCTTGTCTGAGACATGTGACAATAACCACTGTTGTACTGACATTTTTAAGCCTGTTAAGAGGACAACAGTTCAACAGCCAAGTGGCTTTAACATACACCTACCTGCTCTGATCAAAGAACTCAATAGAGAGGCTGATGATCTCATCATCTGTAATGATTCTCTTGTCTTCATCTGCCACCTCTCCACGATCCTCATTTGATCCATTTGAAGCTGCAAAAAAGTAAAAAAATAGAATAAAATAAAATAAAAACCACATGCACACAGATGGGCTGATGTATATACAGAAACATACAAGTCTAAAAATGCATAAATATATACATGTTTGCATAAAGTGGGTACAAAGCATGAAGTGGCTCCATTCTTTCATCTGAAAACTAAGGAAAATGTGTCTGCCTCTGACTGAAGCAAGCAACTCACCATCCACCGGGTGCTCTGCGTAGAAGTCTCTCCTCCTCTTCATTTCATCTGAGGACATTCAGAAAGGCAACTCACTACCAGGCTGCTCACTTTGTTTTCACAGAATTATCATTTCAGGGCTGAAAATAATGTGGCATATACAGTGTAACACAAAACAAAGACAGTATAAAGTAGCAAAAACAAGCTGATGTGATGACAGCAACAGTGACTGAAAAGCAGCACAACACTATATATCCACATCTAGTCACACACACGTACTTTTTTGTATTTGGGGAAGGAAGCTGATTAATAATGTATTTATTCTTATGAATTCACGCTCTTACTTTTGAAGAGGCCGGGGACCAGCTTGTACACGATGTCCTGTAGAGTTTTGTCGGACCTGGAGAGGAAGACAAACTTCAGTCACATCACTGAGACACTGAGCATCAACATCTGCAGTTCAAACCAGAAAGAAAGTATCCGACAGCGGAATTTGTCTTGTTCTATTCAACTTTTGGATAAAATGACAATCCTATGACTTAAAATCATGTGTTCTTGTCTGTAAATTCTGTGCACACATATGCACTTTGAATAAGCATTCGTAGCTGGTATTACAGGCTGTAAAAATCTCTAAGGGGTCTGTAACTAACTGGTCCTTATGTCTGAATATTTTAACCAATTACTGGCTGTTCAATTGGAAAACAAAGAGTAAAATCACAAAGACAGAAAACAAAAACTGTCATTGCGTTGTAACATCACAAATGCATAAAATGGACTCTTTATATTAGAATATTTAAAAAAAATACTTAGGTGCATCAGTTCAACCCACTATGAGACAAAACTAAATCCAAGCAATGAAAGACAGATTTTAATCTACATAAAGAAAATGAGAAAAACAAAAACACAGTATATGGCACAGTTCTCACCTAATGTTCAGCAGAGGCTTTGTTTTATGTACTTGTACGTCACAGATGGGACAGTATTTGCTGGTTTCCAGGTAGCGTACAATGCACATCTTGCAGACTGCAAACAACAGAAAAAGAAAATTGTCAATATCAGATTTCATCTCTGAAAAATTCCTGAGTCTGAACCAGAACCTGTGTCAGTGCATGTGCAAGGAAACGTGGTAAAGATTAATGTAGCCTTCACCTTCCCGCGACACTGTGTCACAGACATGTATTATTTCAATGTACAAAAATAAGATGGAAAAAAAAAAGTCATTATTGCTCACATGAGTGAAGACATTCGATGATGGTGGTGGCGTCTATAAAATATCCTCCACACAGGACGCACATGAGGTGGGGGTTGAGCTCAGTGATCTTTATCCGGGTCGTCCGATGCATGGTGGAAGAAAGGAACAACAATCCTGCGTGGGAAAAGAAAAACAAGTCAAAGTGATGTGAGCGCGCGTGAGCGCGCGTGCGCGGCAGGCGGGGAGGCATCAGACCACATGGAAAAGGCTGCTGTTTTTTTTTTTGAGTGTGTTAAAGCAACATCGTCTTTTATGCTGATCTTACCATAAGCAAATGGGAAGGCGTTCAGTGGCAGATTGATCTGCAGAGAACAACCATAAATCAGTCACTTCCACCCAGAGATCGATGGATCTCCACGGTCCTCTCACATGAACATGGTTTAACACGTGGCAACAGCAGAGGAACACTTCAGGTCTATCAGGCAGCCAGAATCAAGATGTAAAAGGTTTCTCAGTTTTAAAACTCTGCCATGGCACAGAAAATGTTGGGTGTCATTCCAAATTTGGACGCAAAGTGTTTGGTGTTTATATGCGTAATGCGACACACAAGCTAAACAAATCCTTGTCTGGACGAGTCAAGGAGAGCAAATGTCGGGACAGAGTGAAGAGAGAAAACAAAAAAAAAGACTCTGACCAGCCCCCCATCAAAGCCTTTAACATAACAGTCATCGCATATTTGAATCAAACATTTATAGTTAGTTGGTAACTGCGCCACTTTATTAAAGAAATTTGGATAATTTTGACATTTGGGTTGAAAATAATATTAGGAACAACGAGCGCAGCGCCTCGGGGTGAACGTGGGCGAAAAAGGGGAGAGGGGGGGGATGATAGGAGACAGCGTCAGGTGTGCCACACAGGGTATAGGAAACCTGAGCGTTTCTATGGCAACTCCTTTTGCATTTTAGCCCACATGGCTGGTCGCCAGTGACCAGAACAAGGCAGGATGTCTAACCAAAACAGTGTGCAGAGCGGGAACAAGGAGGGACCGGAGGCTCCCCGTTCCTCTGCGCGCACAGACAGCCGCTGGACTGCCAGGCTGCCGACAGCACGGCTGCCCTTTTGTGGAGGGAAAAAGACAGCACGGCTGCCATTTTGTGGAGGAAAAAAAGCCCGTAGCCTACCGGTTCAAAGGACTTTCCTTCGAAATGGGGCAAATACAGCCAATATCCGATGCGTTTACACGAGCTTCCCAAATCCGTATGGACACAGAAAGGAATGCATGTGCCCGACTCGGAGAATAATATCAGCCTTATCCCCGCTCGCTTTGCCCCGTGTTTTTCACGCGTGTGCGTGATAATCACTACAGTGTAGCACCAACATGGCCAGACAGCAGCGACTGCGCTGAAGTTGAAGCGCTGACTGGATCATATTTATTATCAGCTCCAGTCCCACGGCGCTCGTTTTCCTACACTTTGTCAGTGGCTCTAACTTCAGCCCACCGACCCGTTCGGTCTGACCAGACGGGTCTCACCCGATGCCAAAGTATCGTTGTTTTCTGATTTTTATCCAAAAGCCTGTTTATGATCAGTAAGGAAAACGTATCTTGGGAGGCTGGAAAACAATAATCAAAGCATATTAATAAAGGCGGGGGGTGAAACGTCCATCAGGGTCATCCATTGCTGCCATATGAAAAAATAAAACGCCAGGTCATGAAAGGTTTCAGTGTAGCCCACTGAGTGCTCGGGAGGAGGCGACCCTTTTAAAAGCTGCCGGGCCATCGGAACCCACACGCCCCTAACAGCTCTCCTCTGAACAGACCACTGCAGGCAGGTTGGGACAGCGACTCCGTTCAAAGAATGCCTCACACATGGTTAATGATGGATAATGTCTACATGTATGTGAGGGAGCCTGTTGCGCCATTAATCGATTGGCTGGTGTTTGGACAAGTGCCCTCCTGTCGTGGGGGAGCTGCAGGCTCACTTTGTAAAAGTTCCAGTCAATCACTCCGCAAATCCAAACGTATTCAGTGTGGGACCGAATACACAGCAAAATGGCTGCATCACCAGCCAGCAACCAGTACAGTGTGGGCAGATGTCGTCAAGGGATCCATTCTGGATTCAGTTATTAATCCAGTCAAGTTTAATATAGGATTAAACCTATAGACAACATCAGAAATCTTCCTTTTAAACGCGCATGAGGATTTAATTGTTGATAACACATCAGAATTGCTACTGACACTGCATTTTGTTTTCAACAACACATTGGAATATTTCTGTCGGTTCTTGCAACGATCCAGAGTCCTTCCCCATTCATTCCCTAACGTGCAGGTTCCCCTTTCAGGCAAATATACAGCAGCTGGGAATAACCCAATAAAAAACGGCAATGCTGGAGACCAAGACTTCACATTATCCGTTGTCAGTCAATTTAGAAAATGGCAAATTAAGCAGCTATGTGGCGACTCCCGCGCCATTAAAACTAAAGTCAACAAAGGAGTAACTTCCATTCTGCCTATATTTCTCATTACACACCAAGTCTGTTGGCTACACTACCAAATCACAGACCTGTGTCAGCCTGCAAACCCGAGTGGGTGGGGTGGGAGGGTGGGCTACATTAATTTAACCCATTGACTCTACACACTGACAATAGCTTTCGCGAGTAAAATGATCATTTTTCCCCACCAAGAGGGAAGAAAGCCCTGGTTCATGTCTGCCTGTCGTAGCCTATCACCACATTCAATATATGAAGGTGAAAATCCATAATGATCTTTAATGTTCACAAGCAAACTGCTCACAGCTCATGTGAATCCAAGCGAAATCATCGATGCCCTGGCAGGTTTGCGAGACACAGACAGCCTTTGTATCCCGCCCCACGAGTCGCCCAGATAAACATTGTTTTAATTTCTCAGAAACCCAGCCATCAGTCCTAATCAAGAAAACAATACTCCATGGCATAAACAGCCACGGTGCATATTTGACGGGGACCCAGTGTTTGTGAAGAAGTTATGAAACAATTATGCACAACAGCAATGGTTTGCCTTCTTGTCACGTTCATGGGAGCAGCCCAAGTTAAGTTAATAAATCCAGTGTTTGGTCATATACGCACAAACCCAACATGACACCCAGCTCACAACACCACAAACATCCCAACTCTATAATATGAAGCCGCTGTGTGGAAATCTGAGCACAGCAGGAACGTTTGGAGCACTTGCTACCGTGGACATCTCAGCCAACCCAGCCTGATTCGCCCGAGATCTCCCAGTTTACATAAATCTAAAGTGCGCAATGCAAATCCCAACCTTGTTCAACTTGTAGGGACAGATTACTGAACAGCAGATAATACAACACAGGGCGTGCGCGAATCTTAATTCGCGTTTGTGCCTGAACGGGAAACATCTTTTACAAAAAAGTGGTGCGCAGACACACGGAGCTCCACGTCGCTGTTCGCTGCAGCCACCGTTGAAAGCTCCACATCCACCGCTGGATTGGTTCGTAAAAAAACGCAAAAGCACAAAGCCCAAACCTCCCCCTCTGCCCCCGGTAGTTAGAAACGATATCGAATAAGACATACCTGAAGGCTGGGCTGGAAATTGGTGGGTCTGGAGGCGAACAGACAATGAAAGTTGCGAGGCGATCAGCAGAAAATGAATAGGAGCAGAGCCGCCATCTTGAAGCAGGCTGCAGACGCTGTCAGTGGCGGAGAGCGCACGGCGGACCGGACCGCATTTCAGACGTGCTAATAAAACTCTTTTCCTATGCGTGCGTGTCTGTCCTGTGGCTTCACACTAGCCTCCCCAGGCTTAGCTTCGATAAGACTCCCACTTCGGCACCGATAACTTTGCCTCCAAAATATCCGCTTCCCCACCAGTGAAATGCAGCAGTGTGTATGTGCTCTGTGGAAACTGACACCGTCCCCAAAATGGCTTGTAGTTCGACCGCCCCGCTTTGGTCACGTGGTCTCATTGCTTAAGGGTGCCTAGGAATTACTGTCGGTGTATGCTGTGTCTCTGAATCTACTACGTATGATTAAAAAAATAACACACAAAGCACATACATGTACACATGAATCGGATTTAACAACTAAATCCCACAAAGCACTCAACAGTCTGTGCTTTGCATGAGCTGAAATGACACCAGGCAGCTACTTAAGGGCGCCTAAAATTTACTGTCGGTGTATTCTAGTTTTTCTAATGTAGGCTATGACGCATGGTTTAAAATAACCCATTACGCACATCCTACACTTTTTAGCACCAAAAGCCACAGTCCACGCACTACCCGGGCATGTCCTTCCTTCACTCAAATGGCACAGTTTTGAAGCGTCTAGAAAGTGGGCTACAGCTGCTGATGGTGTTTATGATGTTAAAAATTACCTGCAGTGCACACACACGCGTGTGCGTGCCGTTTTGACCGTCAAAATGCCTTAATCCGTTCACTATAACATGAACTTACTGCAACAGACAGCTACCTTACTATGTTATAGCAATCAATAGAGCTTGTAGTCGCTTTGAGACTCACGCACTTGGATAAAATACGCCCATGTGAATGGCTCCGGTGTCAAACCTTTGTCG